ACCTGTGTGATGTGGAATACATAGCCACAGTGGGCGACCTGTAGCACCACATTCGCGATCAGGTGACAGCTGCTGCCGAGGAGACCATCGGGCGCGAAGGCTGTAAGCGGCCTGATTGGTTTAATGAGAACAACGCGACGATTGGCGAATTGGTGTCGGAGAAGAATGTAGCATTTGCTGCACATGTAGCAGACCCCAGTGACCTAGAGAAGAAAAGAAACTTTTCGTGAATTTCGCGATGACTGACCCGAGAACTCCGTCGCATTGAAAATGCATGGTGGATGGAGAAGGCGAAGCAGATGGAATGCTACGCCGAACGCCACCAACACAAGGAGTTTTTCAACTCCTTGAGTGTGGTGTATGAACCGAGGTTGGAGCCGCTGAGAACGCTGATTGATGGTAGTTCAGGCGCTACCTACACACAGACTGCAGACATAATGCAGATCTGGCGGAAACACTTTGACTGTCTCTTGAACAACTGTTCATAGATCGACTGGTCAACTCTGAAAGGCCTCAAGCAACACGATGGGAAGACGAGTCCGGCAGACACGCCGACAATGGATGAGACGCAGAGAGCACTTGCTCAGCTGCGAAACGGCAAATGTGCTGGGGCCGACGGAATCCCGCCTGAAGTAATGAAACACGGCGGACTCGTGTTACTGACTGCGCTTCACCACTTGGTGCGACGCGTATGGATTGAGGAGGAGGTGCTTCCTAAGCTGAAGGATGCCCTTGTGTTACCACTGTACTAGGGCAAAGAGAGCAAGCAATGTTGCACGAATTATCGTGGCATCAACTTGCTGAGTTGTGTGGGCAAGGTGTTTGCCCGAATCCTGCTTAACCGCTTCGTCAGTCAGGTTGGGGAACCGAACGTGGTAGAAGAGTAATGTAGATTCCGTTCCGGTCGCAGCACTATAGATATGGTGTTTGCGGCTCGTCAGTTGCAAGAGAAGTGCAACAACGACACCAGCCATTGCACTCGCTTTTTGTTGATTTCACCAAGGCATTTGATACGGTGAACCGCGAGGCATTGTGACTGGTGTTGGGTAAGTATGGTTGCTTGCGTAAGTTTGTAAGTTTAATTGAATGTCTGCACAGTGGTATGCGGGCGAGGGTGCAGCTGAGTGGAGACCTCGGATGACTTTGCAGTTGTCTCTGGTGTGAAGCAACGCTGTGTCTTAGCTCCTGTCCTGTTTAATATATATCTCTTCATGCAATGTTGTGCTTTTGATGACGCTTGTGCTTACGGTGTTCGTGTGGTGGGTTGCTGAACATTCGTCGTTTCGGTGCGAGAACTCTAGTCGGTGAGACAACTATCCGTATGTTGCTGTTGGCTGACGACTGTGTGTTGTTTGCACACAGCGCGGATGAGTTACAGCACATGACTAGTGCTCTGGCTTCGACAGCGGCCCAATTCGGGCTCACCATCAACACAAGCAAAACTGTCTGTCTCTTTCAGCCTTTACCGGAGGTGCACTCTTCAATGTTGCCGCGAATCAGCATTGGCGGTTAAGTAATAGAAACCACCTCCCGCTTTTGCTACCTTGGGAGTGTGATGTCGACTGATCAGCAGCTACAGAGTGAGCTTCGTACCCGAAAGTCGAAGGCAGCGGCGGCATTCGGGAAGCTAGAGTACCGAGTGTGGAACAACCATCAGCATAGCAATGGCACGAACCTGACAGTGTACAAATCCATGGTGCTGTCCGTTCTTCTATACGTCAGTGAAACGTGGACGATGACTGGCGGGATGTGCGATATCTCGAGCGATTCCATCAGCAGTGTTTGCGACGGATTTTGCGCATCGATTGGGGGCGACAGAGTCGCGGACACGGTAGTGTTACGCCGAAGTGGAATGTATGCAGTGGACTGCATACTTTTGCTGAGACACCTGAGGTGGATAGGTCAAGTGAGCAGTATGGATTCAACACGGATACCGAAACAACTCTTATATGGTCAGCTGAGTATTGGGAAGCGGCATGTGGGGAAACCAAAGTTACGTTACCAAGATATGATCCAAGTGAGCCTCTCACTTTCTAATCTTGATTGCAGGTCATGGGAATCGAAGGCGGTTGATCAGTGTGCATGGCGCGGTCTAATCATGAAGACAGTTGCCAAAGTGCGGAAAAAAGACCTCATGCATGCAGAGAAGAAGCGGCAATTGCGGAAGCTGCTAGCACCGATGGGTTGTGCTCGATCCACATCGAGCGCAGGTGCTGTAGCACATGAGGTCGCGAGTGTCTGAGTCAGGCAGGCCTAATGAGCCATGAGCGAGGCCACTCAGGACCACTACAGAAGCGACGACGGGTCCTGCAGAGAACGTAGGCAGAACCGGCGCAGCGTTTGTAAGTACGCTGCATTCGATTCACTAACCGCGTGCTTGCATGCTGTCTATTTATTTCAGGTGGTGGGTTTGCAATTTTGTCCTAATGCATTTATTTCTCATATAAATGTCCAGCTGTACTCTCTTATATAAACTTGTACACCTCGCTTAAGCCAATTGTATTCAATTTCTATAACATTTTCGTGTTTGTGGCATTTCCGTAAAATATACTTTCTGACCTCGTGGACTTATGTCGGATTCCGTTGTGAACAACTTATTTCATATGCTCATTAATTTAAGAGATATGTCACCTTTTCCTTTTACATTACTCGAGTTGTTTTCTTTGATATATTTCTCTCGATTGATTGGCTGTTGCTTGATATCTCCGGTGTGGCTGCGCTTGATGTGCATGTTGACAAGGTGCCTACCTGTCTATTACCCACTACCTCGTCCATACTGGCTCTAGTAGACAGTTGGTCGTTGCTGGAGGGGACGGGGTGCACGGTCCTTGTGGCTGTGTAAGGATCAAAGAGTGGTTCTATGCACTCAGTGTAGAGCGGACTACATTCCAGCCACCGCCTTGTGTGCGCTTGTTTCCCAAATACATTGTGTTTATGTTTGCCTGTGAAGGAGTGTGGGCCAGCTCCGTTGATGAAACGTGGCTCCCATCCACATGCCTCCCAGTCGTATCCCTTCGGGTTTACACTGAATATAGGGTGTGTGGATGGAGCTGTGGGTGGTGCAGCGCAAGCCATCCGTGGTCCCTCTGTAGGCGCAGGCGTCCTGTGGCTGGCCACAGTGACAGGCAAATCCGAAACCGGATGCCGCCAACGATATATATATATATATATATATATATATATATATATATATAGGGAAACAGTAAACGAAAAGAGAGGATAAGTACCTAAATTAGTGTTCACGAGAGTAGAGCATCACGGCATGTCTGTCGCTGAGCACAGCTTACCATCTTCGAGAGGGTTCCAAGCCATGCGCGTGTTCAAGATGCTTGTGGCGCTAGCCAGGGAGTCGAAGCCAGGGTTAATTTCGTTAGCTCAGCTCAGCTTAGCTTATGGGTAGCGCTAAAGCACCGGTTAGTGGGGATTATCGTCATAGTGACTGGATCGTTAATAACACAACAAATTCTATTTCGTGTTACCGAGCACGTAGGTAGGGTAAATACTAGTCAGTAGAAAAGATGGGAGGCAGCAGTGTATTGTACGTAAATCGCATCACACCGTTTCTGATGAAAAAGAAACGGTGAAACATAGATGAGAAGAGAACCGCGTAAAATAACATTTATGGTTTTAGCCCAATGATGGAAACAATCGGCTAGCGTCCAGTACCCAACCAGCTCCAAACTAATGGTTTCAAAATCGGATCCAAGCATATGCTATCAATCTGAACATTTACAACCGTTAATCCGAACTGCAACTAAGAGCCGAAGGATGAACTTCGCCGTCACAGATGGATTAAGAGCGTAGTCATAGCAATGCATGCAAGAAAACAAGTAGACACAAAAATTAGATGGAGCCCAATCGAATGCAGCTAAATGGCCGGGACTGCGCTAAAAGTAAACAAGTGGCTTGTTCCGAGTAGCTTACGCTGAAGGCTGTGTGACGGGAAGTTGTCTGTCAGGCGTCAAGATAGCACAATACGGAGGGCGTATGTACAGCAAGTAAGGAAATAAATATATGAGCCACAAGAAGTCCAGAAGCCAAAGTTGTGCACTTACAAATGAAAGATCTGTAGTGAGTGAGATCAATTGGCCAGGAGTACGATAATACTCGTTGGGCACTTTCAACACCGAAGGTGTGTTCAAAACGTCGCTGGGTTGAATGGCTAGGAGGAAAGGTGAAAATGTGCTACGATGAGATGTAATAAGATGTTAGGCAACAAAAACGAAGTATTCAGAGGCAAAATGACGGTTAAAGTTAACCATTTATGTTATGAGCGACCACAACGACCTATATCCTGGTAAGCAGACCAAGAAAGACAGGCATTAGTAACCGTACAGTCAAAAAATGGTCTAAAATGTAGTCGGTCAGTCACCGTTGGATCATGCAGTACCTACCGTGTCTGGATTGTGCAACGCAATCTCGATAGAGGCTACAGTTAGCATTGAAACAAAGGACATTTTGTCGGTATATTCTCAATGACTTAGCCTACAGCAGATCATCATCCAGGGCCCAAAACAATCTGTAGACCTGAGAATTACGAAGACGGATGCACAATGAAAGCCGCATAAAACGCCATTCTGAGCATAACAGGATGTATGCTAGGATAACTGAAGGAGCAAAAGTTAAACGGGTGATAAAGAAAACAGCGCAATGGGCTTCCCAAAAGCGAAAATCGGTTAGTCGCCTTCAAAATGAAAAGCCGAGAATGATAGACATGGCCACTAATATATAAGGCATAGAAAGCATTCGAAAAGCAAGGAAAAAGTAAACTCAATTAAGCAAATCGAGAAGGACAAAAATAAGTAAGCATACCAGTCAAAATCTGAGTTCAAATGTAAGCAATTAGTGGCGAAAATGGCTAACGATCAACAAAGAACGCAATGTACAGGTGTGAAAACATCGAACGACCGCAACCACAGGCAGTCGGCGGATATAGATCCAATGCCATCCCTGTTTGTTGCATCAATGAGCGCCTGAAGGAAACCCGACGCGTTCTCTCTATACTGACCCCGTCCAATCTGCACACTGGGTAGAAACGAAAGCGTCAATGAGACTGCGCGTAAGCTGTGTCACAGTTGTCTCTCAGCCCCTTTCGTCGGGCCGCATGTGAAGTGGAGACTCGACTGCAAACTACATCGTCTGACAGCCAGTCTGTCGCCGACCTCAGTATCCAAAGCACACGATAACCTGACTCCGATACGGCTGCGGACTGAGAGGCAAACTACTAACGGAGGTCAGGGTGTGGGTAACGAGCGCTGACTTCACCAGTGTAAGGCGAGGCTGGTCATAAAATACACACGCACACAGCAGCCAAGCTATGACTAGGCGAAGTGGTGAAACTCTTGCCGTTTATATATCGAATCACAGGCTGCGCGATGAATCACGCGCATATACCGCCGTCACCAAGTTACCCTCAACCCGAATGAGGTTACGTGCCTGTTAAGCAGCGAGTGATAATTTTTCGTCTGTATGGTAAGTGCGGGTGTAATGCTGAACACACTACTGGACAATACAACACTATCCACAGTATCAAGCGGCCCATTAATGGACGGTACGTTCGTGGGCTGGTAAGAAATTTGAGGAAACTGGGAGCGTGTGCGGCACCAAAAAGCCAGGGCGGCCTCGCATCACCATGGATGACTTTCCTGCTTGTGGGGTTATTCGTGAGGTATCCAGAAGCTGCGATCTGAGCATTCGTAAACTCGCCCAACGTTACGACACCACCAGCTATGCTGTCCATCGGATTTGGAAGGAAAGGAAATTCCGGAAGTAAAGCGCCCGTCAAGTGCAGGTTTTAGACCCACGTGATTAGGAGAAGCGGCTTGATTTTTGTCGCAGGGTTTTGAGTACCATGAACCTCCATCCAATTCTTTTTACCGATGAGGCTGTTTTCCGTTTGCACGGTGCAGAGAAGCAACAATTTGGACAACCTGTAATCCACACTGACGCAGCGCTTCACCTATACAACATGGTGCAAAGCTCATGGTATTGGCTGGGTTAACTGACCAAAGAATCGTGGGACCATTTTTTTTCCTGTAATGTAACCGGTAGGTTGTTGTTTCGCAGTACTAATGCCTTACGCTTTCTGGCATCATCGTACAAGGAATTACTGCAAAACTGTGTCGTTCCGGAACTGGAAGCCGCTGGGTTATTAAGTACCATTTGGTTGCAACAAGACAACGCACCGGCACACTATGCACAAACGGTGCGGGATTTTCTCAACTAGATGATCCCTAGCCGTTGGATCGGGTGAGGAGGACCTATAGAGTGGCCTGCTCGGCCACCAGGTTAGAACCCATTGAATTTCTTCCTCTGCGATCACTTGAAACAGCGGGTTAACAAAACGTAGCTGAACATTCTTGAGGAATTGAAGCAGAGCATTGTGCACGGATGTCGCGGGATCACAGTTGGTAGTTTGGGAAAAGTGCTAGCAACCATCATCAGGCGATCGTTGCAGTGTACGCAAAACGCCGGCGGGTGCTTCGAACATCAACTTCGCTGACAACTCTGAGCAATACATTGATAATCTTTTAATATACATACATAATTCAGTGAGTCATCGACTAAGTTCGTGCGCTGGCTAATACTCTCTTTTTCTTAGCAATGTCAGTTGGTTTTGCGTGCGCGTGTCGTGTAATAAATAACTCGGGATGTCCGTTTTTCTGTAAGTCGTCCCTACTTGAAACCGTGTCCCTAGGGTACAGTTTCTCTATTCCACCAAATCCATGTGGTAGAATAGCAGTCGAGGCTCTGTTTGCACATTTGAATGAACATCTACCAGTTGGCCGGTGGCCGAGTGGTCGGCACGTTTGCTTTCCAACCATAAGTTCACCGGTTCGAATCCGCGTAGGGGTGGGCGTCCTCGCGGTATACTCAGCCCGCGCGCGAGTGGTGGTGGTCGCGCGGCAGCGAAGCGCCTTTACGGCGTATAAGCTGACACATTCATTCATTCATTTCATTCTACCAGTTGGACGCACACCAATGAGGAGACAAGCGGTTGCTTTACAACTACAAGGGTACATTTTGTCAAACAGTCCTGCGCTGTGACACCGAGAAGTGACCTACCATGATGAAGGATCGTTGCGAGTCCTTAGTGCAATAATTACGCATTGGAAAGCTCATTATACTGAGACAAGAGATGGCATCAGGTGTCGTCATAACGGAAAAACACGGCTACATCCAGAAAGTGCAAAACTTTCTCGCAGACTCTAGTCGATTCCTGTGTGATGTGACAAGCAGCGATAAAACCGAACAGGTTATGGAGTCAAAAGTTCGTGAACTAAGGACCGTATGGAGGGTGGGAAGGAATCTCGTAAAAACTTTGACAGCCGATCACTCGAGCGTCTCGGCTTCCTTATTTGTAAAGACTGCCGAGAACCCATAAGCAAGGCATGGTTTTTACCACCAATGGTTTCAATGGTAGGCCAAATGGTTGGCCAAATATCTGACCACGGTAATTGAGCCCACCCTAAGGAAACTAGCCGACTGTAGCGTTAAAGACACATTCCTTGATAGAATACGGAATTTAAACGTTGGCAGGAAACATGGTCATCTTTGATGCCACAACGTCGGGCATCTAAGAACGTAATTCGAATGCGCAACTTTTCATACCACGAGAGGCTGCAACGATTGGGGATATTCGGCGGAAGCTATCGCAAACTACGAGGCGACCTGCTTAAAGCATACTTAATTCTGCAAGACCCACATCATGTGTACAGCCCTTTACTGCGACACAACAACCAATACAACCCTGAGAGGCCACTCGCGGAACAGTATAGCCATCTGGAGTGCCGCAGAAATTTTTTCCATTCGTCTCTGTCACCCGTGGAATGCTCTTTCAGAATCGGTCGGCTCTGTACCGACATTAACAGCATTTAAAAGATGGTTGGATAACGCCCTCATCCACTTACACTTTGTTACTTAGAGCAACGTCTCTATCCTACACCTGGAGTTTGTCATGGACTTATTTGATGTTAACTGTGGGCGCAGTGAATCTAAGCGGATCGCAGGACTACAGCGTAGCAAACGATAAGTTCTTATTTGCATATTTAAAGTACTAGCTGTTTTACTATTAATTAGCATTATTATTATTTCGATATCCCCACCAACTATCCAACGGGACTAGTAAAGCAACGCTACTTAACCCGTATAAATTCATTTGTCATTGTTCTTCACGTCTTTGGGGGACGCCTGGAAACTACAACGTTGCGGCCTCGTATATTAAATGCCCACTTTTACCTATTTAACGCTGTCACGGTACTTGCGGTAGCAAGTACAGTTAGCCGTACTGACAAAGGCTGATAGCGAGAATCGCAGAACACATTACTCCTAACATGGTTACAAAAGGTCCCAAGATACCTAACAATTCGATTGCCCCCCACATACTCGACTACTCCGCGTGCCAAAACCCTGGTGGATTGTTCAGTGTAATTAGCAAACAAGAAGACTCTATATCATTTCTCACATATGTTCGTGAAGAGTCAAATTAAATCCGTTTGATCATGAAGTGAAATCGTTTGTTACCATATCAATTTCGTGACGTTGGCATCGGCCGTGATTGCGCACATTGTTCTAATGCAGGTATCGAATCACGAGTATTTCTTGCGCAGTGTTTTCATACATATGGTAAGAAACAGTTCGCACATCTTAATTTGGCTTAATGCATACATGGTAGCGCAGCGAAATTATTAGCCCTGTGAACATCTGCCCTAAGTTTCTTCAGTTTACTTTCGGTCTTGTTCAGTTGTGTATGTTTGTCGCATTGCCTATAGGTGCGGCTCCTTACCACAGGTGTCAGTACATCAGTACACACAACAACGGCGTTGACAAATTCACCAGCGGCCATAGTCGGGTTGTTGGTTCAGAAAGATGGTTGCCAATTCAGAGTGCAGCTAAGTTCCTTAAGTGCATTCCAGTCAATTTGGTGAATGTTATCAGTGGGATGCAACTTTGTATTGGAGTGGCTTAGTTCGTTCAATGTTCACGATACAATACGCCGTGTTGTGATCGCAGTCCGGTAATGTACTGTTATTGAGCGCACAAGTGGAATGGATCCTCATGGTGAATGTTAATTCTAGGGTATTGGCATTTCCGGTGGCCCACTGACATATATGGTACAGCCATTGAAGTTTAGTCCAGTTTAGACCGTAAGTCAAGGCAATA